TATTGCATAACTAAAAATACCTTTGCTCGAGATTCGGGTGTTTAACGTAGAGGTTTTGGCGGCTTGGTACTGAGGCGTAGTACTTGTTTGGTGCGGCACTGGCAAGGACATTTTTTTGCCACATCCACCGGTACATTGTCGTTCGGTGAACGCCTAGCTCAGCAGCCAAGGCGACGACTGAGCTGGCCTCTCCGAGGCGTAAAAGCCCTCGCAGCTTGGCTTTGTTTTTGTTCTTCGGGCGCCGTGTCATTTGCACAATGGGGGCGGGTGTCATTTTGGCGCGGAAGTGAGATTGTTGGTGCGCAGTGAGCACAAGTTTTTACGGGTGTAAGAAGTGCGCACGACTCTATGCAATTTATACTAAAATTAAACTTTTTACCAGTGTAGCATTGAATCCGTGTTTTACGGTAAGTACGCTCAAAACAGGAAATAAAAAAACCTCACTATGTACTGTACCCGGCAAATTTTGGTCGTAATTCACAAAGACCTCGTAAGAAAAAATGAGGGACGGATAATGTGGCACTGTATTATTAATAAGGCCGATGCTACAGTCCATGCGTCGACTCAGTTTATTTTCCATGTAATACTCCATGTAATGTCCATGTGTCGAAATAAATTACTTACCACTGTTTTTAAAATCCATAGTGAATGGAAGTTGTTAGACCTTCGCAAACGAAAGTCCTCTGACATATCTCGTACATACCGGTATACAGAAGTCAGGAGGTCAACCATACGCATGAACATTAGGCGGGTCGATTCCAGTTTCAATAGAAATGAGATTGTGTCTTGCTACCGTGAAGCACGAAGTGAAGGATGCGGAAGCGTAACAGCGTTAGACCAATCGGAGCTACGTCCAGCGACACACTCTTGTCTACATATCGCCAAAACCTCAACATTACGTAGAATCCGCAGTTGTATCCGTCTGTCTGGATCGGTCCATTGACGGACACAACTTTGAAGTCGTCGCTGAGCGTAGTAGCCAGATCCCACGACATGCGGTCCAGTACGTCCTTGTACGTCTTCAGGTTCATTGAGTCGTAGTACAGGACATTGTTCTGCTTGCCATCCACGATCATTGCACACCAATGCATGTTCCCAAAATTTACAGGAATGAGCAGTACATCCGCTTCAGTGAGTAGTTCCTGAACCTTTGTCTTCATTTTTTCACTCATAGATTTCTTCTTCTTTGACGCCGAGGCTGCCTCGACACCGACGATGCGAACGCCGGTGCCCGTCGTGTACAATCTCGCGCAAAAAGCCAAAATCAGCGCATCATTAGCCATTGGGCGGCTTGAGATGGTACAGCATCGCGTAGTGGTAATCGTTGCCGTCAATTGGGATGGTATCTTGGGGATAGGCGCGAGCAATGGCCTCTGCCATGCTCTGAAGTGTCGATTGTTGTGCTGCTGGTATGGCGCTGGCTGCATCCTGTGTTAACCATTTGGTAAACGCCATTACATCATCACACGAACGCTTCACGTTTGCTAAGTATGCCATGGCCTCAATCTGTTCGCGTGAAAATGTTCCGATACCCGCGATGTAGACACACTCGATCTCCGGGTTTTGTCCGTTGCTGTCCAAGATTTGTCCAGGTATTGTAGATGTTTCTTCGTCTTTTTGTGTAGTTTGACTCTGGGTGAGTACATCGATGGCTGTTTCATTGGTGTTGCTCACAGGCAGCACGGCAACGCACTTGTCCAACAGTTTGGGTGGAAGTAGGTAGAACGCGTTTTCATTCAGCACAGGCGCACTCTCTCTAGTGTACTTGGGTTTCTTGCTACCCGCGTTGTTGTACTTGGTTTGGAGTGGCAGAACACGACGTAGAGTGTCTTGAAGTGGAGGCTTCTCAAGTTGAAGACTGCGCGCAAGTTGTATTAATGTCACCTCTCCAAGACATCTTCTATGGGCTTCTGACTCGTTAAACAACGCTCGTTTCTTCTTGTCGTCTGCTTCTCTCTCCTTTCTGTTCAACCGGGGCCTACCAGACTTCTTAGCTTTGGGGTTCAGACGGATGCGCAATCCACTATCAGTAATTTTCTCTTCGTTGTCATCAGGAGTGGTCTCAAGCGCAAGCTGCTCCATTTCGGGCTTGGTTCCGGTTCGATTTCGGCTGGTTGTCACTGGAGAGGTCACTTCATCTGTTTCTGTTTCTTCTCTCGTGACTGGAACCTTCGTTTTTTCAACCTTTACACGTTTGCGCTGCCTAATGTTCCTCCATTGTTGCACGACGAAGTCTAAATGCTCACGGTACTCGTCGTCATCAGAGATATCGGCTAGCTCACTGCATATAGCCTGGAACGCGCTGACTGCCTCCTTGTACTTAACATTAGCGTCAAGCACCTTGTGTTTCGCCTCCCCTGGTTTAAACTCATTAAGCACAAAAGGCCGCGGAGTCATCGGTTGTTCAGCAGGATGTAACCATCTAAATGAATGACATGTCAGACCCTCAGTACAACATCAATATTGGATATTACATGGACAACTCACGGCTTATACGTGGATAAATTGGGAGTTAACCCACCTTTCATCGATGCAACTCAGCGGTATTACGCTTCCTGGGGCGTTACTCCACTTCCGAAACGCGATCGCGTGTTGACAAGGCAGACGCATTGCAGAAGCAAACGAGCAAGTGCAGCTCCACGTTTTCAAATCCACAGCATGCGTCTTGTGTTTACCCGTCACCTCCACGAAGCCTGGATTTGACTTTAAGTCGAAATTGAACTTGTCGACCTTCGAACATGCCATTACGTACTCCTTCTCCACGTGTGTTGCTACGAAATGCGTCGTAAAGCGCAAAACTTGGCACATCTCCTCGTCGTAGTTGCGGTTGACACGTAACCCGATCCTAGTCTTGTCGAACACGTATTCACTGGAAGTCCTGGCATCAGCACCCACAAGGGCCTTCACGGTGTCCGTCATGGTCATGTTGGAGTTTACCCCGTCCTTAAAATGCCCAAACCAATTGTCTAAATGGTTGTTCGTGTGGACGCGCAAATGTGCCAACCGTGAGCGTTGGTACATGACCCACATCTCCGTACAAGTGTTCCAGTTTTCATCCATGTAGTTGTAAAATGCCATATATCCAGTCCTAGTGCAAAGTGCCTTCATGGAGGTACAATTGGTCTCGTAGATCTCTGAACTAAAGGCATATACCATGTTGTGGACTAATGCGTCGATGGCGTCGTGATCGTCCGACGAAAGTTTACCATATTCTGGCTTCCTGGACGCTGTGCGGAGATATTTGATGACGTGAAAGACGCAAATCAACACGCGCGACTTAGGGAAGTACCGACGCAACACGCGGATCTCATTCAGATCTTTGTCGACCATTATAACTTGAACCTTGTCGCCAATCTTATCGTCAATCCGAAATAGATGATCCAGCGCTCGGGACATCTGCCAATCGGCGTTTCGTTCGAGCAAAGACTGTTGTACAGGCTGCCCACGCCCATTGTCGTCTATCATCATGAAGGTACAAAGCTGGTAGTTGTATCTAATGCACATTACATGGACAAGAATCGCACAATACATGGGCATGACATTAAAATAAGCATGGACAATACATGGACAAATAATTGCACAATACATGGGAAGACTTACCGATTCGTTTTGTGGGTACAGTCCACAAGCAAAAGCTCTGGAAACCTAGTAACCATGTCGCGCATATGTCTGGAAGTCATACTGATCACACCAGAGTGTCCCGCATCAGTTTCGTCCACCGTGACTACGTTACCGTCAATAGCTGCGAATTCCGCGAGAGTTGCGGCGCAAGCGTCGTCGTCATTCAACCCTCCTCTTATCTCTGCTTTAACACGTTGCACAATGTTGTCCACATCCTTCTTGACGAGGTTCTCGCCTCTCCCCAGAAGATACTCATAGATGCGTGCGCGCTTTCTACCGTACATCACCATGCTGTCCACAGCATCCTTCGTGTCCGTGTCGTCCAACCTACGGTTCTCCGCGTACGTCTTGAACTGCGCTGTCCCCACCGCATGGTTGTGCTGGTACACACCGTTCTTCACGCGAAGGCAGCATAAGCCGTCAACTTGCACGAGCTGCACCACAAATCGAAATGGACAACCGCATCCTCGGACGAAGTGCTTGGTTCGCAATCCGCTGCTCCTGTCTTTTGCTGGCCAGCCATGTGTGCAGATGTATGTGCGTTGGTAAGCACCCCACGTCTCTGGTACGTACGGAACATCCATTCCCTGCTTTGCTGCCGCTGTTTGACCCAGCCGCTTGTTTCTCAATACGCAACTAAGCGTTGACTGGATGCGGATGACCTGGCGGGACTTTACCGAGTAAGCCTTCAAATACTCATTCCACGCCGACCAGCTCGGATACGTCACGTCTGCGGGGCCCTCCACAAGGGAGGGAGAGTCTACGACCTGGACAATACATGGACGCTTGAATTCGTCCGTGTCAGGCGAGGCGTCGTCCGAGTTTGCAGCCGCGCCGGAGGCTGCGGAAGCCGTGGTGTCGATATCTGAAGAGGAGTCGGACGATCCACCCTGTATTTACAAATAGATAACGCACGGTTAGAAACACGTTCACAGAGACCACAAACAGCAAGATAACGCACCTCAGACGTCGCGGAAGCGGGTAGACTGAGCGACATGGCCGGCGATTGCAGCAACGGTTGATCTCGTGACGTAGGCTGCGGCGTGCAGGTAACGGAGCGGCGGCGGCGGCAATGCTCGAAGGGGGGCGAGTTTGGGTTTGAAAAGCAAATGAAAGGCTGGTGTGATTGGTACAACTACCGGTATACAGTATTGTACCGGTATTAACTACATAGATCACATCGTGGACAATACACGGATGAGAGTTGGACAATAATTGCACTCAACGACTGGGTTGTTTTTATAAATTACCGAATGAAAATATTTTACATCATGGACATTACATGGAGTATTACATGGAAAATAAGCGGATTTGACGCATGGACTGTAGCATTTCCGTATTAATAATAGTGTGCCCGACCACCAACCAAAACCGAACTACGTATTTGGTGCGGTCATCACTTCGCCATGGGCAAGAAAAGTAAGGCAACCAGTGGCCGTAAGCGTAAGGCCGGTCATCTGGGCTTCCAGGCCGGCGAGATCGCCTTCATTGAGGATGAAATGGCGGCGCTGGCGGCTGAATACGGGCTAGACGTGGACGGTGACGTTGCTAGCCACGTACAGCAGCGCAAACAAAGCAAAAAGACGCGCAGACGGCAACTCCCGAGCGCCACGAGCGGCCATACAACCAGCAATTACCACTCTGGCAATAGCAACTTAAACAACATTAAGCTGCTCAAGGTTAATCCCAAGCAAAGCAAGCCTGAGGACCCCGCGGACGCCCACAAACTCGTCCTCAAGCGTCTGGCCGTCGTACTGCCCGATACTTGCGCACTACGAGCCTGTGGCGTACCTGGCTGTTCGTGCGTCAATGGCTCACGCTCTTTGGGCCTTCAGGAGCGCGACGACGGTGATAAAACCACGCGAGACCTACTCGAGAACGCCCAGTGTCAGAAATGCCAACACGGAGTTCTACAGCACGCGGTAGTTCTCCGAGAAGACGCAGAACCTGCCGCTGCATTGCCTAGTGGCGGCCAACGACTACTACAGACTCTGTTCCAGATTATTCGTCTTGGAAGGATAGGCGCCAGTATCTTAAAGAGCCGCGTATGGACCAAGTCCGCCTTAGAGCGTCTCGACGCTGTGCTCGCTCACCTCAAGAAACAATTCGCAGCTGGAGGGTCCCAGAACGGTCAAAAGTCATCCGACGAACTCCGTCAGGAGATGCAGCTGCTCACAGACCTCCAAGCGCAGCTCCGTAAGGCCCAACAAGCGGTGGGAACAGCATCTCGCGACCAACTGCCCATTTCTCTGGCCTGTGTGTGCGATCAAATGTACTTCCAGACATACTACGCTGCTCTTGTCCTCTACGGACGTGCGTGTGGCGCTGTGCCTGCGCCCGCAACGTATCTAAAAGACCTCGAGACGTTCACGTCGTCCCAATTAGAAACGTTTCTAAACCACGAATTGGCGGGCTCGGCTCGATTGCTCAAGTCTCTGGCACTCCCAACCACTTCATCGTCTTCCCAAGACGAAATAGCGCGTGAACGCTTGCGTGCGCAGCAACAAGAAGACCAGAACCCGCTGCTTTCTATCTTCCACGCTCGTCTCCGTGAAGGTGTTCGTTTATTCTACGAAGAAGGCGTCGGGATGGATGGAGAAATGGACGCTGTGCTAAGTGCTCCTAAGAGTGAACCTGTGGCTAGTAAGAAAGCCAAGAACAACAAGAAGAAACACTATCGTCGAGAGAGAAAGGACACAAGTAGAGACACAGACGTGTCGCTGCAGGAGATGCCTAGTTATCCTCTTCTAGCTCAGTGGCGTAACAATTGTAGGGACTGGTGCTGTCACTTGTACGCGTATGCGACGCCCACCCAGCAGGCGCTGGAGGTCATAGCGCAACACGCTCCTATCGTCGAAGTTGGCGCTGGCACGGGCTATTGGAGCTCACTCTTGCAACGTGCTAACGTGGACATTGTCGCGTATGATAAAGCGCCTCCGGGTGCTGACGGCAAGGAAGGCAACGCGTATCACGGTCACGTGCCGCCGTTCTGCTCCGTTGGACGTGGCGGGCCTGAAGTTCTGAGCCAAGAAGACATGACAGAGCGTAGTTTGTTCCTCTGCTACCCGCCACCGGGCGACGCTATGGCTGTACGTAGCCTTCAGCTGTTCCAAGGTCATGTAGTGCTACATGTCGGGGAGTGGCAGGGCGATACAGGAGACAGTCGCTTCGAGAGCGAACTCCAACGTCGCTTTGTACTGGAACAGGAGATCGCGCTGCCTAATTGGGGCAACTCAGCGTACGGATTGACCGTGTGGCGTCGTACGACGAAGGAGGTTGAGTCGATAGCGTGGCGTGCCATGAGCTGCTTCCATTGCGACAAGACATTGGCGGAGGCTGCGGATGAAGGAGAATTGCTGAGACGCTGTGTGGTCTGTAAGACGAACGTGTACTGCTCAGCAACTTGTGCGCAACGAGATGCTGTGGGCCATGCTGCAGAGCATGCTGCTCGTCTGGTGTTCCTGGAAGAACCGACCTCCTATGATCGAGTGTTTGAGAATGAAGCTTTCTATCGCGAGCTTAAGGAGCCTGATGTGGATGATACAGTCGTGGCTGTCAAGAGCAACTGGAACGCGCTGACGAAGTCGGATGTTAGGGATGCAGACGCTGATAGTGGTTCGAATGTCGAGGAGAGCGACGAAGACGATACGTTGACTGATAAGAAGACGACGTTCGCCTTCAACTTCGGCGCTTGAGAGCTAGAGAATTGTATCTAAGCTTACGCATAGAATCACTCTGCTTAATGTGTTTTTGGGCATGAAAATTCGTATAACCGACGTGTACCGTGGAATCAAGCTACTCATGTAAACTTTTTTTTGGTCTTTTACTTAAAATGCTTAATACTTATGTCAAAAAATGCTGAAATTGGACTAGAAATTCCGCGGCGATCAGAGCTCGCCAGTGTCAAAAATCTTCTGCGCGCATATCTTGGCTGCCCTGGTTGTTGTCAGCTGCAATATCTCCTTTCGCATACTGCGAGTACAGTATCCAAACTCGATATTTTGGAGGTAGTGCAACACATTTTCTTCCATTGCAAGCGCCAAAATCTTGTGCTTTAGTGTTCTTGGTACATTTTTGCTCTGGAATATAATATCCACTATCACCTGTGCACCCTCCACACGACCGCGAAATGCTGCTTTTCGGAACGCTCTTAGCATCGCGTCAGGCTTCGTCCACCGTTTGCCATACAAATATCTCAGCAAATATACACTCTTTGGGCTGTTGGTCCCCGCGAACGCATCACATATCGCATCAAAGGAAACGCGGGGGTCATTACACAGCAGCTCCGCAATTTCACTTTTATCGTGAAATACTGCGGTCACCAACGCTTTATCGATAACTTCAGGTGAGATGCACTGCTCCTTGTACAGCAGCTTCACGATCTGAGCTCGATCCTCATTATAAATGTTGAGGTTGGTTCTTCCCCAGCCAGATGCATCCTTGAACGCATTTACAATTTCTTCCTCCGATATCCGATAGGTTTCGTACAAAATCTTGACCATTGTAAAGGTGCGTGAATGCGCAAATGCTACCTCAACTGCGTGACTGGAAGCACAGTCCTTACTGCAGAGAAATTCCATGGTATTTACTCCATTCCGCGGAAAGCTAGCTGCATTCGTCATCGCCTCGTCAAACGCGTCCGTGGTAACTCGTGTCGTGTCATACAGGGAACTCCATCGTAGCGATATGAGAAATGGCTTCGCAGCGTAAACAAACGCATTGCTATCAAATCGGAATCGTTTTGTCCTTGTTGTAGTACAAGTATTTCACTGCTTCCGTACCCGCTTCGCGACCCGCTACTCTATACAATAAATTCATTTTATCTTCGTGGCAGTACGCATCGAAAATCCTGTCCGCAAGTGCATGTTGCTTCTGTGTTACCGCCGCGATAAAGGCCTCCACTAAGTCCCATAGAGAGCTATTAAGGCTAAAAAGATATTCCACCACGTCTTCGTGTCCTCCGGAAATTGCACGCGCCAATATTTTACCTGTCACGTAGCCTCTTAGGTAATTATTAGCCGTGGCATGTTGCACAAGGTAGCGCACCACTGCGAGATGTCCATTTGCTGACGCAACATCCAGGGTAGATTCCCAAATGGTACGTATGCGGAACTGATCGGATTAGAGATCAGGATTTGAGACCTGAATTATGAACAGACTGAAACCAAAGAAAAACACTTTTAAAGGGGAGAAGATGAAGCATTTACCGAGGTCTTCTGGTTGCTACACGGACATATCTACAACGTAGCACTAGTGAGTGTACTACCGTCCGCTGCGGGTGTAGCAACTGCCTCCAGTTCCTCCAGTGGAGGATCCACGTCGCTGTCAACGTCAGAGGGAATGTCCACAACCTGTGGTAGCTGAATGACCTCGCGAGGAACACGGCGGGCTCGCCCACGAGGAACATCAGCAACGCGGCGTACGTACTCAGCTGATATAGCCTTGATCACCGTCACAAATGTCGCCATTGAAGGATGCGGGGTTGGGAAACGTGTATTAAGCTCCCTGTTAAACCTCTCCAGGGGATTATTCGTTCGTGCGACCAACTCGTTGTTCATGCCGAATACGTTCCAGACATCGATGGTATACTGCTCCAGCCAAGTGCGGTTGAAATACCCCCAAAAATCGGCCCATTTTTCAGTAGAGTAGGTCACGCCAGCTTGAGCACAGCGCAACTTGATCTCACGCTTTACCCACTTAATACCTCGCTCGATGTGAGCAGGATCAATCACCGTCAGGGTGTCTAGGACACCACGTGTCATTGCAATCAGACACTCTTCCTCCGGAATAGCATAGCGCTTCATAGCCCGTCGGAGTGCTTGTTTCAGATGAAACAAGCACCCCAACACAATTGCGTTCGGAAACTGTGTTTGTAGTGCGTCCAACAGTGGCGCTTCGAAGTCACAAACAATTTCGGCCGGTTCGAGTTGCTGGTCCGTTGATTGTACGATAAAATGAATCATATCCCAGTAGGCGTCGCCAGTACGCGAGGTGCTCAGAATGTAGAACACCGGCACGAACACTCCAGAGGCTCGGTCGTGGACCATGAACACAACGCACTGTGCGTAACCCGGCGGGACACACCGAAAAGTGCCATCCACAAACAACGTGGTACCATGATAGCGTAGTAGCGCGACCAGAGATGGATGCGCCCACCCAAGCAAGCGGGAAGGCTTGTTCAAATCGTTGCGGTTAATGGTGACGTAGTGAAACTGGAAAAAGGAAAGCTCCTCGTCTAGTGCCAATGAAAGCGGAGGAATTTCAATAGAGCCGTGAACATTGCTAGAGTAATGCGCGCTTCTTGCTCGGTGTACTCGTCGGACAACTTGTTGCTCTGACAACCCACGAACAACGTTGGGATTGTCAGCTGAGTAGAACTGGCGTCGCAATTCTTCCCACACTTGGCGCACAGGCCAAGCGACGTGCTCAATCGCAAGAAGGTCGGCTTGAGCTTTCATCTGGTCCTCAACGTTGATGACGACGTTGGCAATGGCTTCGATGCGGCATGTGTGCAGCTTTACAGCAGCATACGCCATCGATGCAATTGTAAACTCCAGCTTTCCTCTGCAACCTTGGCGAAACTTAGAGCATCTGTACACAATTTTCCTTGAGGACGACCATGCCTTGCAGTACTTATAGCCCTTGTAGAAGCATGTCGTCCGCTCACCACGTCGTGGCACAGACCCCACATCATTTGCGAGTTGCTGTCGAGCTTGCTCGAACAGCAACTCAGTGCTAACGACGTCCTCGACCGGCTCAGCTGGCTCCACTCCGCCATCCTCCGGCGCGCCCTCAGCCGGCTCAGCAGGCTCCACCTCGGCATCCACCGACGCGCCCTCGTTTGCCTCTCGATTCATCTTCTCCACTGACCAACGCACGAGCAGCCTCGAGGCTGAAGAAGTGCGTGAACTTACCAATCATTTTCAGATCCCATGTCAGATCTCCAGTGAGATAAATATCTGATCTAGAATCTGATCAGTTCCGTATACGTACCTTTTCGGAGCTAACCACATCCAGTGCTGCGAATGCAGTTAATATAAGTAAGTAGCCAGGTCCAGACACACCAGGAGTAAATACCACTGACATCAACCGCTTCAAGACGCGGAGATGTCCATTAGCAGCAGCAGCTGCGGTCGCCTTGCCAGCTACTTTCCAGTCGCCATAGGTCAGAATAATTCCAGAAGAATAAGCATATTTGCTCTGCAACGTCTCGACGCAACTTAAGTGGCCATGGGTAGCAGCGACCACAAGCGCATTCGCCACATCACACTCATATCGTGCCAGTAACTGGTCCAGCCACACTACTTGACCCGACTTTGCTGCCTCCACAATTGCGTCGACCGGCGTCAAAAGAAACCTTTTAATTGCTTTAACAACATGAGGTAGCCCCAGTAATTCGACAGGAACAAGTGTATTGCAACACGAAGCTAGCGGGCTGCTACCGTTTGGTCGTGGTAGCTCTGATCGAGTACGCTTGCTGCCCTCGGGGCCTTGGCTATCCGATCGCTCACGCTTTGTAGCGCCAGGCATTGTCTTGATCTTATGGAAAAATTAGGTTTAAAACCAACCTGCACAGGAATGTCCTGCACTGTCAGTGTCCATCCATCCCTCATTCTCCAAATTTTACTAGATCACTCTATTGACAGCAAACGATCCCATGGAATTTTTTAGTATTTTTTCATGTTTCTCTGGTAGGGCTACGTACAGCTTA